GTTTTTTTTTTTTTTTTTTTTAGCATGGTGGTTCTTTGATGCAATGGGTAGGGAGAAAGAAGTTTTAGCCTTCTGTCCAGAAAGCGTTCACCTCACTTATTATTGTGACAACTCGGGAAGAATGAAAACTCTGTGTGTTAATCTTTGCTCATCCTGTAAGAACAGTCAATGAAATAGTGAGCTGATCACTACTGAAAATAACTTTTTGGGAGGATTTCCTTTTGTCAACAGAATGAACGATTAATCCACTGACGACCTTTTTTAAAAATAAAACACCAGTCTGACCAGCACTGTCTAGAGCAGCATTTTTCAACCTCAGTAACTTTGAAATGTGTGGACTTCTGCATGCTGGCTGGAGAATTCTGGGAGTTGAAGTCCACACATCTTAAAGTTGCTGAGGTTGAGAAACACTGCTCTAGAGCAATAGAAAAACAAAAAGCTAAAAGAAGCTGTAAAACTGCCTGAAGTGGGAGTGAGTCTCTGGCCCTGTGACGGACTTTGCTTCAGGCAGAGATCAGATGCTACTGGCAGCTGTGAGGGTAGAAAATAGCTCTTCTGAGGCTCTACCTCTATGCTGCTTGTTCAGCACCAGGTGATGAGAAGAATAGAAAGGAAGCTCCCAGCATGGATTTTTAGCTATGCTGTGGATGACCTAGTCATAACAGGTGTCATACTATAGAGTGCCAGCGATCTATACCATACCAATTACCATACTATAGATTTCCATTATTCCCCAAGGCCAGACAATAAGAACTAACAAAAGAGATGGAGAATGTAGGGAAGACCTTCCAGATTCCCCTTTTCTTTCAGACACATATATTGCTACTAGGAATACATTACAGAGAACCAATGTGAAATTCTTGGGTTTGAAGCGCTACATGCATGTTAGGCTATGAATGAGATTTGGTTTGAATAGGTTGATGTTTAAGCTTCCTTGGCTACTGAAGGATAGAACAATTACATTTTGATAGAGCACCTTGATCTCTTTGCTTCTCCATCCTCAACTAGGCAACAGATGCATGGACAGTGTATCTCCTTCCCTGATGATAGCTCATGTTTGGTTGTGTGTGTGTAAATATAAGAGTCACAGCCCAGTGACATTTTGTAAGATTCCAGAAGTTCTACCCTCTCACAGCTGCCTGAACTAAAAGTAGTTTTTCCCAAGCAAGAAACTCAGAGTTTTCATTAGCAGGATTTATTAATATGAAAATAGTAGTGATTCAAGAATTCTAGCAAGTGAGCTATTTTTAATTTAGAATGTATATATACACACACATTAGGGTGAAGATTAATGATAGAATCATAGGGTTTGAAGGATCTTGGAGGTGTTCTAGTTTAACCCCTGCCCAGAGCAGGAATCTTCAGACATCCCAGACAAATGGCTGTCCAACCTTTTGTTTAAAAACTTTTAGTGATAGAACACCTATGACTCCAGAGGGCCAGCTGTTCCACTGTTTAATAGCTCTCACAGTCAGGAAATTAGTCCTTATTTCCAGTTTGGATCTCTCTCTGTAAAGCTTCCACCTGTTGATTGTTGTTCTATCCTCAGCATTATGGAGAATAAATCTACACCCTCTTCCCTGTGACAGCTTTTCAAGTATTATAAAACTACTATAATGTCTCCTCTTCCCCTTTTCTTCTTTAGGTTAAATATACCCAGTTCCTTTAATAATACCTCAAAGGATTTTCCTCAGCCCCTCACCATCTTTGTCATTCTTCTCTGCACTCTTTCCAGTTCCTCAGCATCCTTGTTTATGACAATGAGGATTTGATGCAGTATTCCAGGTACAGTCCAATCAGTACAACCTAGAGGGAAACTATAACTTCCCATGATCTGGACACAATGTCTGTATTGATGCAGTCCAACACTGCATTGGCTCCTTTGTGAGCTGCAACACACTGCTGGCTCACACTGTATTTGTGGCCTACCAGGAGCCCAGATCCTTCTCACGAGTACTACTGCTGAGCTAGGTACCACTATCTTATAGGTGTGTATCTGTTTTTTTCCTAAGTGCAGAACCTTACATTTCTCTCCAGTGAACAGCATTTTGCCAGATAGGGTCCAACGTTCAAGTCTATCAAGATACTTATTAACCTTGAGCCTATTTCCTGAGATGTTAGCAGTCAGCCCCAGTAGTGGGGTCATAGTGGGATCATCCTTCCCACATTGTTTCACTTTATCAAGAAAAAGGGTATGGTCAATGCTATCAAATGTCTTACTGAAGTCTAAGTATACTATATTCACAGCATCTCCTTGGTCTACTAATCTAGTCACTCTGTCATTAAAATTGGTTTGGCATGACCTATTTTTAAAAAACCCATGCTGGCTTCTAGTAACCTGCAAGCCTCCTGCTTGAGAATCTTTTCTAGGATTTTCCCAAGTGTTGATGTCAAGCTGATTAGTCTGTCATTTCCTAAGTCCACTGTTTCTCCTTTTAAAAGATTGAAACAGTGTTAGCTCTTCTCCAATCTTCTCGCAGTTTCCTTGTACCCTACAGATTCTCAAAGATTACAATCAGTGATTCTGAGATCACAATCGCCAGTCCCTTCAGCCCCCTAGGATGAAATCCATCCAGCTTCAATGACTCAAATTCATTCAAAGCAGCTAGGTGTTTTTTAGGTTTCTGCCTGCCTGCAGTTGTAGAATCATGTGGTCACTCTCTCCCAAGGCTCTTACATTTCCTCAACATTTTTTTTTCCTTGTTAGAAAGTATTAAGACCAGGATAGCTGAATTTCTTTCTTACAACTTTATGGTGCCCTGGAGAGGAGGCTCATCTCTGTTCTAAAAAGTGGGGAGTCTGCATCTGTGGGTTGCTTGTAGGATGGTTGCTTGAATCCTTATCCTTTCACCCTGCTAAAGCAGTATCTGAAAGTGGCAAAGTGCTACTTGTCAATATAGACCAGGAATGGAAAAGTTATTATTCTCCAGCATGGACATTGGTTATACTGAGGCTGATAGGCCAATAATGTACTTTGATATATGGCAGCTTTCAAAATACTTTTTCTCCCTACAACTTGTACCCAGTAAGAGTGGATGTCAGCTCCTAACTGCTATACACATACTGATGAATTAATATATGCATTCATTCAGCTTGGCATGTCAATGACTAAAGGCTCTTAACAGTTTACAAAAGAAACCAATTTAAATGGGAAAGTATGAACAATAGTTAACATAGAAATTAAGAGGTAAATCAAATAGAATTCACAATGAGGATTGACAGAATTAGCAGTTAAAAGCCTCTACAAAAAGATGTGCTATAACGACCACTTTAAAAGCTGATAATGATGTTAGGTCCCTCAAAATGATAGGGAGTCCATTCTGAAGAGCAGCAGCAGAGGAGGATTGATTCTGAGTCCTCACCAGACGAACTCACAGAAACTTTAGGTGAACCTCCTCAGAACTTAATAAAAGTGAAGGTCTGGATGGGTGTCTGGATCTAAACTATGGAGGGCCTTCAAGGTAACGACCAGCACTTTTGCTGGGAAATAAGTTGGCAGTTTTGACGTAGAATGTGGGAAACACTCTGTGGAATATTTTTTTAAAAAAAGTAATAGCCAAATAATTATTTTACTTGTGTGGGTAGAGGGTCCCCATCCCATTTGTCAACCACTAAATGCAATACTGACAATAAAGAAAAGTGTCAGCAAAGACAGCACAATCTGTGGGAAAATGCATTCATATCAATGATTGATCATGCTTCTGTATTTTTGTCTGAGAAAAGTTAGTTCTTACTATGCCTGGTGGCAGTACTCATAGTCTAATGTTTGTGGCATCTACTCATATGTTCTCATAGTTAGTCTGGGTGTTGGCCTCTTGGATCAGGAAAGTATACATGATAGTTACAATAAGCATTTACATTAAATACATTCTTCTTATGCAGAGGTATGAAGATACTGGGCATCCCCTTGGGAAATTCATTTCAGTTACAACTATGTGTTACCATTTTAGGGTGAGTATTTTTTTCTTTTTTCTTTTTTGCAGCTCAGCTTGGATACCTGAGACAGTACTTCACGCAACGCTGATGTTTCCCGTGCTAAAAGGGAACTGTAGTGAAAGGATTTCTTCCCTTCCTAGTTCAAATTGGCAATCTGCTTTAAAACCAGCTATTGATTTCTTCACAGATGGGAGCGTTTCTCCAAGCTGACTTCATTTGGACTTAGACTTGGCATCAACTCAAGTAGCAATAATGAATTTAAAACCCTTTCTAGATCAGATTTTCATTATGAGAAATTTAACTTGTGCGCTCTATTGAATCTTCTTCATTTTTGAACCAAATTCCTAGCCTTGTCTAGGAGAAACAGGTGAAGCTTTTTTTCTCTTATCTCTTTACACTCTCAGTAACCAGGGAGGAATCTTCAGCATCAAGATAGCTAGAAATAAATTTCTGAGATCTAAGCAGGAGAACAAAAGTAAATATAGAGATAACATTGAGGTGGAGAGGGGTAAGAACCTGCAGTAATGTAGCTGATGCTAAGGATTCTTGTATTACTCAAGCCTATCAAATGGCAAGAGATACCAGTATCTCTATTCTTGACCATAAGATGATGTTTTGCAAGTGGGATCATAACTTCTTAACACCGTTCTTTTAAACATGAGAGCAATACCACAGAATTCTAAATTGAAGATTGTTTTTGTCTCATTGTGTTTAAATATTGCCCTTAGTATTCTTTTTGGAAAGAAGAACAAAGCCATCCAATCAAGCTAGGTAAGATTTCTAAGATGGCTTTTGTGGTGAGACATCACTTGTTTAAGTTAGGGTTGTCCTGGCTAAAAAGCACTTCAGGAAATATATTCTCCCAAAGTGCCTATCCTAGCCACAAAATAAAAACCATTTTGGCTTGCTTTGCTTTTTTTGTCTGATAGCTGATTCATATGAACCAACTAGAGCCTTTATTCCCTTCAGGTCTGTTCTCCTCTCAGATGTAGACACTGAAAATGAGCTCCACTGGAACACTGCACTCTTTCTTGAAGTATTCTCTGAAATATGGACCTGAAAGTACATGCGGGATATTATCCTGAGCATGAGTGGAGATCCAATACACCATTTGACCTTGGCACCTCATATCTAAACCATTCTTGCCTTGAAGGAGACTTGAGGCAACTGGGGTGAAATTCTCATTGTGGTACATTTGATGAGATGAATGGCAGCTCCTGGGGACAAGCCAGATTAAAGGACAATCCTTCACCTGCCCCCAAAAGGCTGCTAATACATTTTAGTTGACCTCAGATGAACAGATCCATTCCTAGCAATATAAATGCATCTCTTTGCCTGTCGATTACAAATAGTACTTGCCTCCCTGTAGTTAAAAAAGAAATTTGGCCATTATATCCTGCTTCTCCTAAGACTTGCATCTAGAAAACTTAGTTCTTTTCTGTATCTTTCATTTTTCTTTTGCTTTCATCTGTTAACTTTGTGTGATCTGGAATGTTTCCTAACCATTTAATAAAAATTCTGTGAAACATAAATGAGTCCTGTAGTGTCAATTACATTGAGTTCACACAGGCTGAGCTGTGGTTTAACTGGTTTGTTGAATAAATAACAATTGGCTGAGTTGCACTGCATATGAAACTCTAAATCATGGTTTACAAATGGCAGTGATTGAGTTCATGCAATATGCTAATTCAAAATCAAATTAATCATATTATAGGTGGATCACCATGTTTTGCTAAACCATTATTTTCAAACCTTTGGCAATTCTCAATTTGCTAAACTCTGAATTTGAAGTAAATTCCAATTTACTGTAAAGATGTTTATTAGAAGCAAGAAACTTTGCATGCTTACTTAGGAGGAAAGAACAAATCTAAATGTATTTGAGTTGAAAGGTTATTTCTCCTGATCCTATGCATCTACTGCTTTTGAGATTTACAAACATTTAAAAATACTTAAAAGTAAAGTCAATTTCCAAGTGACTTAATGTATTGGTATTTTTGTATAGATCAGCTCTACATTTAAATTTAATATACCACAATGATTCTATGAAGAGCCTAATTATGCACAAGTAATGAAATTATTCTTTTAGTTTTAGTTTTTTTTTTTTTAAGTTTTTCTCAAATTTCTCCCCCCATACCTGGCTTAAAATAGTATCTTTCACCCACCCACCCAAGCTTAAACATGTCCTTAAATTTTTCCAGAATTTTCAAGGAAGATTGAAATGATACACAATGTCTAAGAACAAGATTGGAAAGAATTACAGCCTACAGACTGGAGTAGATGCTTCTCAGTCTTGGTGTTACTAATGACTTTTACATCAGCAAACTTTCATTAACGTTACCAAAGTTCAGCGAACTACTTAACATACGTGGAAATCAGCAACACTAATTTTTCACCTGAATTCTATGTGAAGGTGTGTCATCTATTACCTGGCAACTAATCCAATTTTACAGTGTATAAACTTCTGAGGACCTTAGCCAGTGTAAATGGATCTGTTTAACAATGTAAAATAAAACAGTGTTTGACAAGGCTCTAGAACTCTGGTAGCTCTGAAGGTGAATGCTGATCATAAATTTGATGTATTGAACTGAAAAAGACTAATGATGGTAAAATATTCTGCTAGGTAATTAATACTGTATTTTTTAAGAGAAGAGGCTGATTTCATGCTATATTTGATATAGATTTTAAACATTTTAAAAATCCAATTCAAATTGTACTCGTTATTCCACAAATCTGTTTTCTCAAGATCTCAGTGTTGAATTACACCAAGTTCCTAGTTCAGCAACAACCTGTACTTTCAAGCATATCAAGAATATCTTTCTCCCTTTGGATCATTCTTCATGTAATTCTTCAACATTTGAACAAAGAACTGTCCAGTATTACATAGCCAATTACAGAAAAGGAAAAGTTCTTTGGGAGAACTTTGGCTCAACTTTAATATAACTGATAAAATCATTTTGAAGACTGTTATCAATGATGTTCATTGCACTCAGATCTAATATTACATATCCAATGATTTTACTTTTATTGAGTTGGGGTGTTCTTGGTAGTACTTTTTAGTCTGCTACCTGTAAATTGAAGGTAATGAGCTAAGATGGAAAAACGATATGGGCTTACTAAACACACATGAATGACTTTCCTCCTATAAGACAGTCTCTGTGTTCAATAAGTCTCTAAAACACATAGCTGCTAGACACTCTCATTTCGCCTGACTTGGGAAGGTATATTTATCATCTTCAGAACAAGCCAGGATATCAATGCAACTTCAGATAACTGCTTATTAGTCTTATTTGTTCCAGCTATCCATAGCTTCCCAGTTAAGATAAATGGGAAATACTGCTAAATGGAAGACTTCCTAGCTTTTTTTGCTCAAGGAGGGAAGAATTCTGTGTGAGGATAAGCAGTTTGTTCACCATCTGAATGCACTAGAACTCAATTATCAGAAAACTAAAATCACGGCATTTACCAAAAGGCCAAAGAGCCACTCCTGGAGCATAGATGGCTTCCATAGATGGAAACAAGTCTCTTGTTTCAAATAAAGTAGTGGAAGCTAGAGTGTGGATGACTATACTCGCCTATTGGCTCAGACTATCCTTTTTCCCCCTTTTTAATTGACTGTACCCCACCTTCCTTATGCTGGTCTAAGACTGTAATAAAAATTGGATTTGATCTGAATGCAATCAGTGCTTACCATTATATATCTGCATCTCAGCCATGCCCTTTCTTTGAAGCATGGGAGGACAGAATAATAGACTAAACAGATGAATTCAGGGAATTCTAGAGAAGTTGAAAATAATTTCAAGCATGGGCCTAGTAGTCTAATCTCCAGTTTTACGTGGCTTTGTTTAGACAAACAGACACACAAAACTCCAGCTGGTTAATATGAGCATACATTCTGCCACTACTTCGTGTCCCATACTGCTGTTTAAATATGGCTGGTGCACAGGATAGTTTACTACTTCTAGTGTCAGGAATTGATTCTGAAATGACTGCTTACCTAGATTCACCTATATGCAGCATTTGACTAATAGGAGGATCCCCTGATCATTTGTGATGGTTCCCTTAGTTATTGTTTTTAGAAAACTCTTGGTGGGGAGTGATTTCATTAAAATTGGGAAGAATGGGGGTGCAATTTGGGGAGGATTCTGCCTTGTAGGAAGAATATAGCAAGAAAGAGACTAATCTGGCCTCCTCTTAGCATCCAAAGAAGTACACATTTACTTTAACTCAGTTGCCACTGAAATCACGGCAATCTTTAAGTTTCAGTTGTCTGTTTGTAAAACAGAAATATTTCCCAGGGTAAGCATGAAAATGATCTATTCCGGAGAACACTGCATTTTTTGACATGTTTTTCATTACCATAAAAATGAAACAAAAATTAAAGCACTTTCCTGTAGCCAATGGCAACTGAAAGATATAATGGAGAAGTTACTCAATTTTGTTGCTGCTGATGTTAAACCATCAGAGACACATGTTTCAAGGCGAAGCTATAAATTAAGGAAGAATAGCACTAAAAACTTTCTGCAGTATATGGTTTATAAGTACATAATAAAGAGACTGATACTGCAGTTGCATTATACATTTTTTAAAATGCACAAAGCAATTCTTAAAGTCAGGTTGAGTTAGCACAGCTACCATTGGAATGTAACTAAATGACAACAGATTTTTCATCAACAAATGAATCGACCAAAGACGGAAGTTCCGGATGAAACTGCTAATAACTGCAACCTGATGGGATGTAATTTAATTGAAATTTATGAATATACTGTGAAATGATTGGAAGGAGTTGGACCTCCTCTAGATATTGCATTTTCTGAAGTCAAAACTTCAGAGAATGAAATTTGATGCTGTTGCAACTGTCATGATAAGCAGAGAATTTGAATTAACTGGTTTTCATAATTGACTTGTCTTGTAAGTAAATGAGTTGCTGATAGAGTAACTAAGTAACAGTTGGCTCACATCTGGTTGTGGTGGATAAATTTCCTAGACTTAAATTTGCAGGATATTTACTTGTCACCCTTTCCTGAGGAAGAAACTCATGAATTGGAAGTATCTACAGTTCACCCATCTGTCCATAAAGGTGCATGCTTGCATGCACGCACACCCACACACATACTTGGTTCTTATTGTTGCAACTTTTTTTTAAAAAAAGAGTGTCCTGCTGACTGGAGGATAAAGTTGTCTCTGTACAAGTGTCCAGTAGGTTTCCTCAAAGTGAGTGCGAGTGAGCTCAAATGTGGAGCCATTGCTACCTAGACTTACAGATTCATATTTAGGCATGGCTGTACAAAAGAACAGAATGGGATCCCACACGTGAGCTTAAGATTTTCAAGGAATGGGTGGAGCAGGTTCAAGTTGAACTACAGCGATTGCTGTCTGTTCTTCCTTGTAGGAAGCAAGGACATGAATATAAGGCTTGTGATGCTAAACAAAGACATAACACAGATATATTTATTTATTTGCTTGAAAGGCAGAAACAAAAAGACAGTAGTATGCACGTTCTATAAGTCACCTAAGATTTTGCCTTGGGAAATTCTGTGAAACAAGACAAATATGAATAGAACGCGCCTAGGAAACAGACAGCTCGTCTGCACATTATACCTGGAATCCACCAGATACATGCCCTTTAAGACCCATCACCTCAGCTAGCTTTCCCATTGGTTAAGGATAATGTGAGCTATCATTTAATGCATCTTGAAGACATTAGATTGGGGCAAACTAATAGACTAGTAACTGAATCATGAATAAATATTGGCCTAGTAGATGAATCATGAATAAAATTCTAAGTTAATCTATGGATTTGGCTGATGATGTGAAAACATATCTACCATATATCTACCATAGTTTGTTTGTTTATTTAAATTTCTATAGCCACCCATCTCAACCAAGTGACTCTGGGTGGTGAACAATCCTAACAACAATTAAAACAAGTACGATACAGCACAAAATAAAGATATATGGCAGCTGAGAAAAAATATCCCATAATTATCAGTATAGCCAAGAAACAGGGCCCTTAACACATTCGAGGCCTCAGCTGGTTTCATGAGATACGCAGAATGTGCATGAAGTGGAAAACTGCTTATTCCAGTTAAAATGAATGGATTGTCTAGCTCAGTACATTTCCTTTGACTTGACAGGAGTTTTTCAGAAACCTCCCCTAGCCTAGCTGCCTTAAGTCTATGAACTTGAGATGGCAGGGGTAGAATCAGGGGCATTCTATATATAAAGCATGCCTTTTGTTATTAAACTGTTAAAATTTCAGCTTAATTTCACTCTCAGAAATTCTTTTCTATATTCCCTTATCTTCTGAGCTACGACAGATGGGTTCTGCTCAGCGGCACTGCAGTTTGTGGAGAATCTTGTCTAAAGAGGCAGACTTGTAGGGATGAATTCATTTCAGGAACATTTGCTAAAATTGGCCTTGGCAATATGTTTAAAATTACTTTTTAAATGCCTCAGTATTAATTTTTATTCCTGGTGTAGTACTATATGAGTTTTAGTTCTCTTCAGCTGATTTGAGTTCATTTGCCCATAAAAAGTCAGGATGAAAACACTGAAAACAAAGAAAGAAAGAGAGAATTCCACCAACTATTCTACTACAATTTCTCTGGGGAGTCTAAACCTGTGAGATGAACAGTCCAAATAAAGATACTCCTAATTACAGCATCTGAAATGTACCAAAAAACAAGATAATGCAGAGATGTTATCAGGCAAGCTTTTGGGACTAAATGTCCAGGTGTCCAGTCAGTAGGGAAAATGGAAGGGTTCCTAAAAGAAGAATGCTGGCTTACCAAATTTCAAAGTATATATTTTATCATTTCAAATGTCCTGCCCTCTTTAGATCCAGGAATAAAATTACTTATCTGCATTACTGGGTACACTACTGTGATGTTCTGCTCCATTTTCTGTCATACATGTTCACAAGGATAATCAATCGTTGGGATGACATACAGGTCTACAAGACACCCTGAAAAAATCAGGCACGTGGGAGAACTATCGATTGGAAGATGAGAACAATAAGAATCTCACTATCACCACATTGAAAGGCACCCCAATTTCACCCTTTGCTGCCAGGGGTAATTTTGCTGCCAACTGAAACTTGAATGGAATCACGGATGCACCTGGGAAGCAGGCAATTCATGCATGATGAATGAAATGCACCAAGCTGAAGTACTGTGTAAGAACAGGACCAGCCCAGACATTTTGCTGCAGGAACGAAGGGCACAAAGCTCCTTTTGGTGTATAGAAACTGACTGTGCAGGCCAATGAATCTCTGTTCAGTACTAGAAACAGGACAGCCTTTTCTGCTGCACCTGAAGGCAGCCGATTAACTGAGGAGGTGCAGAGTAAGTTGCATGGCACATTCAGCTTGGTTCTCCAACGCTTGCCACTGCGTCCCAACCCCCGGCACCTGCCAGATGAAACCGTTATTGCAACAAACGGTAGGGCTGCCCCTAAATAAGAAGTAAAAAGCGATCAGTAAGCTAATCGTTTTAATTGAGACATGCCCATCTGGGTTCATCTTTAAGCAGCCGCTAGAAGGGTTTGCTTTTGTTTCTTTGCTGCAACAAATAATGCAACCCTATAGACATCTACTTTTCAGCCCAATGGCCTATAAACAAATACAGAACTGCAGACTAACATGGATATTCATCCCATGCTACTTCAAAGAGATTCTCAGCCGTCTCTTTCAACTCTTAAAATGAAGCCTACAGTACTGTAGTGTTCTTCTTTTTTTTTTTTAAACAATCTTGGCTAATAGATTTTAATTGCAACAGGGGTTGCATCTAAAGGCAGTCAGGCAGTCAAGGATTTTGGTGAGATGCTGCCTACATTTGTATAGACAAGTCAGAGAGTCAGTACGTTATCTCCGCTGCTTGTCCTTATCCATTTTCTAACTATTTTGCAGCCTCGCATCCTATTAAGAGGCCAGGTCCGGAAAGAAGTTTCCTCTCCACGAGGTGCCCAGCATGCCCAGCACACAAATCCCAGCCACCAAACCTCCCTTATATTCTCCAGGGTGAGGCAAGTGACGTGGATCTGACAGAGGGGACTATCTGAAGCTCAGGGTTGACCTGTGGAGTCCTTGGTGCTCTCCAAGCTTGGCGGCTTGCTTGCACTAATGGTGCTACTTAGTTGGGTAATGAAAAGTCTGCAAGCAAACCACCAAGCTCGGAGAGCACCAAGGACTCCACAGGTCAACCGTGAGCTACGTATATTCTCTTCTATCGGAGCCATGTCACTTGCCTCACCCAGGAGAATACATTGCACGGTACTGGGCAATACCGCACGAGCCGCCAGCCAGGCTGTGTAAGTCGCATTTAAAACCCGGCAAGCAATACCGAAGCCTAATCGACAAGCTGTTTGCCCCGGAAAGCATCTGCTTATGCAGAGTTTAAAAGAAGGCGAACACGGCTGACCAATGCGAGGATCGCGCACGGAAGAGCAAGCCACCTGGCAGCTCACTCAAGATCCCAAAGTTTCAAATCAAAGACAAAGTAACTTCCCATTTCTCACTCTCTCTCTTAATGCCTCTCTTCCTCCACCCACCCCCCTTTTTTTGCCCCCCTTCGATACAGTTGAAATATTTGCCTCGCCAGCAGAACCTGGTTCCTCGGCGGCTCCTTCACCTCGGGGGAGAAGGATTTCTTTCTACAACCGCAAGAGAGACGCCAGAATTGGGGGAAAGGCGGCGGCTTTGCTCTGCATTACTGTACCTGGTGAATGTTGCCGGAGGGTTAAAGGCTGCAGCCCGCCGCGCTCCGCTCCGCGGGTTTCAAACCCTGTCGGTGCATCCTTGCTTGGACTCTTCCCTTGGAAGCCAGGGAGAGGGGGAGGCTGACTGATGCCCAAAATAAAACCTGCCCCCGCAGCTCCTTATCGAAAGAGCCTTCTCCCTTCTCACAGGCTGGTAGAAAGAGGCTGGTGGAGGGATCGACTCCTCTGTGCAGCGGAAGGCTCCCCAGCAAGGGAAACTTGCCAAATCGGGGGGGGGGGGCTACAAGGCAACGGGGATGACAGGCGCATTGCTTTGGAAACCGGGGTGCAGCGGGAGGCCGCTTATAGCTGGGACGCGCGCGCCCCCTAGAGGCAGAAAGACGTAAGACTCCCGCCCGCTTGGTCCTTTTCTTGCGGACTGAGCGAACTCCAGGGACTTCGAACCTTCAGCCTCTCGCTCCGCTGCCGCGCTGCTGGATGATTGGTTCATGCAGAAGCGGCCTACCGGACCGGCCTTTCAGATTTTTCTTATGAAGAGAAAGAAATCCATCCTTGGCTCTTTCCATCTCTCAGTTAAAAGCATCCCTTTCCAAGCGAGGATCTTTGAACTGTTCTTCAAAGCGGCAGTTCCCATCAGTCAGCAATAGCTTTCCCAACCAGAACATGCAAACGTTTAACCACATACCCAATTGTTTCAGTTCTGTTTGGTCTGTCCCAAAACATTAAGGATTGTATTGCGCTTACTGTGTTATTATTAGCAATATATCAATGACCATATTATGTTGTTATAGATGATGCAGTGGAGGATGCTTTAGATCAGAAACCAAGCTTCCGTCAGGGTAATCTTTTAAAACTTCTTGGTATGGTAAGGCCAAGTCTATTCCCGCTCCTGCCAGCCTCTCCACTGAGTAATTGGCAGAACCTGAAGTCCTGCTTAGCTGCTCTGATGAACCCAATTACTTTCTCTTGCAGTTCAGGCTGGGCCTCCCCTTAGTCCTCCTGGGCTTACTCCAGACAAACCTGCAAGGCTGCCTTCTCTGCCAGCATTACACCTGTACCATATGAGTGCTGGTGGAGTTAGAACAATTCTGGGTCTGGACAGGCTTTAAAATAACATAGCCAACTGATCCCCATGCTCTTCACATGAGAACCTCTGGTTCCTTTGAACTGATTGTCCTTTAAATTTTGCTGGCCTGGTGGGATTTTAAATATAGAAACCTAAGCTATATGGTGTTTTATTTTCCACTCTCTCCAAACATGTCCCTCCCATCTTAATCTAGGACAGCTCCTTCAGCTGCTCCTATACTTGGGCTGACCTTTTCCCACCCCTCTTTCTTTCCTTGCTCTTTCCCTCCTTACTGTTGTGAGGCTGGTGGCCAATGAGCTTCTCTAGAAGATCAGATGTCACTATAACAGGAGGACTTAATTGCCTGCTGGAGTTGGCAGAGCCTGCAGCCTGATCCATTCGGCAGAAAGCTCCTTGCTTCTCTCAGCTCCCCCTCTCAGGTAAGAAAGAGATTCAAGCGAGACATGTATTGGTACAGTGTAAGGAGAAGAGAAGGAAAGGCATGTCCAAAGTTGTTTTACTCAGACTAGGGTGGAATACAAAGCAGGAGGGCAGAGGTTCAGGGGCCTATAATAAAAGCAGGTCTCCAGATCCTAGCACACAGTGGACTTGTCCATCTCCTTACCTATTCTGAGAGGGTTTTCTTCAAGCTAGTAACAATAATCATCATCAGCAGCTGTCTGTTAAAAACAAAACAAAACAGTAAGGAGATCCATCAAAACAGGAGCTATATGAGAACTATATGGCCCTGCAAGTAGCCAAAAGTGATATGTATCACATACACAAAACACTCAAATTTTTCAAAAGTTGTAAGGATATCAGCTGAAATACTGCCTAAATGGGGGTTTCCCCTGCTTGAATTCTCATAGAAAGGGGTTGGATGGAGAGATCTTTGAGGGTGGTTTAAATGTCAGTAGGAAGCCCATTGAATAGGAGCATCTCTGAGATGAATGTTGAAATAAAGTGCTTGAATGCTATGGCTAATTTGTACATTTTTTTTAAAAAAAGCATATTTCAGTACAGTGTTAGATTATTTAAGCACCATTGGTAAAATAAAGAGTCACAGTGACATTTTTTCAGTTGAGGTTATTTCAGTTTTGTGAACTTGAAAATCAGCTTGTTGAGTCAGTGAGTTCAGGCAAGGAAAAACGTTATATGTAGTAATAATTAGTTATAATGTGTTGTAGCAATTGAGCTTTGTCTGACTTCCACTGAAAGTATTGCGCCGTGGGGGTGATTTGAGCCCCAGTCAGTGTATATATCTGTTAGACATTCGGTTCTGAGGATTATTCTCAGATCTTATGAGCAGTATTAAAAATTACTGACTTCCTTGCAAGTTACATGATTTGTGCTGGACTATATGAAAGAGAGAGATATAGGTATGGTATTGTTTGATTCTTCTTCTGAATGGAAAGCAGGACATATGAGTCAAGTCTTTAAATTATTGCAAGATGTTAGTATTAAATGCATATATCTGTCTTAGTTCTTCAAACAGCTGGACCAATAAAGTCTGCAAGAAAGATTAACATTTAACTGTGTAATTGACTGAAATATAGTTGTCTTTGGAAAACAGTGGTAGAGATGAAATGGTCCGTGATAGATAACAGACCTGAGAAAGAGTTAGGAATCAGTGTTAGATTTCTTCTTAACAGAATCTTCTCAGTATGTTTTCTGACAATGAGTGAATTGCTAGGGTAAAATTCTGAATCATCACAACTATTGTATCTGTTTTGAATAATATATCCATTATTATATAATGGCATATTCTGTTATGCCTGCATCATACGTGAAAATACTTTGATGCTTCTAAAAAAGGGAAGATTAGAAAGCCGACCATCCAATACTGAATTCTGCTCTTGATTGGATATGGCTGAGACATGACCCAGGACCATGACCACTGTATCTTCTATGTCCCGTATGGTAGCTGTCCCATAAAGCAAGCCATCTGTGTATCTGCTCATAGGGCAGATTGAATAGCTTTCTGCACTTCATGGCAGATCTTTTTTGATTGGGGAGCTATGAAGGCAATCAGTGCATGAAGGTTGCCACCATGTGGCAACTTCAACATATGCACCAGATCTTAGCCTGACTAACTGGACTTCTAGGTAAGGCTATTATTGGTCAATTACTTTACACAAATTTAAGTTCATGGAGGGCATGTACTGGCCCAGATTTTATAGCCTTCTACTTGCATCCCTCCCCGCATATTTTCTTATGGCTTTTTGTCTTTTTGTTTTTACAAAATATATAAATAAATCCCATTAAGGAGAATAATGTCCATGCTTTCTGGGTGATCATGCTTCACCTTGAAACACAGTAGAGCATCTGCCTTGTTTTTTCTCTAATAATATATGACAGCATGAAAAGCTCTAATACATCCCCCATAATGTTTTCCCCATTCTAAGGTGCCAGAGTTCAAACTGAGTATGGCCACCATATTTAGATTTCAGTCTGAGGATAAGCAGAACTTTTTTGTAGAATCATAGAGTTGTAGAGGAACTCTATGATTCTGCAGATGAGGAATGGTCCACAAGAATTATCTAGCTCAACTCTCTGTAATGTGCAGAAAAACTAATTAAATAATAGAATGTATTCTTTTTATTCTCGTAGTATATTCTGGTATTTTTCTAATAACGTGATCTTATCGTGAGTTTGTCTGTATCTGGATTGTTTTTGTAGGTAAGACTTTTGTTTCCAAGAAGAGAAAGGTTTACCTGGGCTTTATAGGTATTCCAGTCTCCAGTTATTTTAATCCAACACTGTCGGCTATAAAGGGAAATCAGTGGTTCACTGGTGCTTTGTAATAATATAACCACATCAGCATTTGGCATAGAGGCATTACAACAGGCTTTACCAAGACATTTATTTGTGTAGGGAGCAGGTCTTTAATGCCACATATAGTCCCTTGAAGAACCCTTCTAGAACCTGAATAGAAATGTCACAAGCACACCAGCAGAGGGTACAGCTGTGTGAAAAAGGATCACAGAGAGGTTGTTTTCATCTTGAGACTCTCTTATTCTTAGTGAACTCTGTGCTTTGGAGGCAGATTGAGCATAAGAGACCTGGACAAATGGATGGGATTAAGAATGAACCTCTTGGGTGTTCCTTCTTTCTTTTAAGAACTCCAGCTGCTGGTTTCTTGATCCAAATATAGAATGGCACTGTGTCCCAGCTAAAGTGCCAAGAAGAATTTTTGAGACTGGAAAGAAAATGGAGAGAATGCAGCAAAACATACGTTAGAGACATCAGATTGATTAAATATCCTGCAAGGAGAATGGTTTCATCTGCCAAATGGGTCCACGGACCAGGGTTAGCTTTTTTTCCTCTGATATCCAGCTATACCTATCAAGTCCATGGTTTAGCACCTGCTTTCCTTTTCATTCTTCTTCTTATAATCTTCCTGCTTCACCTTGTATGGCCAAGGAGAGGGAATGATTGATGGGAGGACTGCTATTTTCATCAATAGTCTCTGAGATGTGAGGGAGTGAATTCAATCTATCAAGGGGAAGATGGGTACATTCTCAGCTGTTAAGAAGCTCCTGAAGAGATGGGGTCTGGGTGTTTTCAGCCAAGATTTGGAACAGATTTAAGCCAAAAGGCACATATAGTTCAGAGCAGGAAGCAGAAATTGGTTGGGGATTTATGTGACAGAATTATGATCCACTTTCTCTGCTGCAGATTGGCTCAGTATCAAACCTTTATTTATAACATTTGCACTTCATTCAGAGCCCGTCTGATTTATCTGAGTGGGATTTTTAAAAAAAAAATTAATGAGTTGGTTTGCTAGTGTAAACACAGATGATATGCAATTCAGTCAACAGTATATTGTTTTAGAACTGGCATAAAGGTCAGTTAATGACAAAACAGACATGTCTCCGGATTCCAGATGTTAGGTCCCCACTTTTATTTTTTTAACCTTGAAGCAGTTACTGTGGACTCTGATTTGATGAGAGCAGCATTGCTGAAAGAGAAGGGGTTGCTTTTTAAAAAATACTTTTTCCTTCGTTTAGCTGGAGGAAAATCTGTAC